CCCCACCATGCAGCTTCTGGGCACTGGAGTATCACAGAGGCTGTGGTAGCCACAGAGGGTGAAGGCTCTCAGAGCAGCCCCGGGGGATCTGGGCGCAGGAGTTTTCAAGTGTGAATTGAGGCAACTACTGTCCTGAGGGACAGGGATGTGAGCTTTGTGCTGGGAGATCTGGACATGGAGCCTGGGTAAGGCACCCAGGCTGTAGAAGTGTCTGGGGTCAGAGCAGGGTGTCTCCAGGAGACATGTAGAAATGGGACCTATATGTTCTATATGAGTGAACCATAAAGAGCCTGGACTCAAACCTGGGAACCCTGGGCTCCAGAGCTGCCTGGGCAGCTCTTTCCTTCAGATCCCAGCTCCCTTGTGCCCTCCCTTTGGGGCCTCCTGTGACCACGCTGCTGTGTCCACACTGTGTCCACCCGCTCCCATCCTATCATTCTCCAGCCATGTCTTGCTTCTCTTCCAGCTCTCATCAGTGTCTAGAATCATCCTATTTGTGCATTTGCTCATCTTCTGTCTCCCCTAGTGGGATATGAACCCCAGGAAAGCAGAGCCCAGGACTCTCTGGCCTTGCTGTGTGGAGCTGGCTACCATGCTGACAGATGGAGACCCTTGAGTGTGTCAGTGTCTCAGGGGCAGCAGATCTCGGGAGCCACGCAGAGCCCAAAGCCCCAGCAGTCAGAAGGCCCTCAGCCTGTGCACCAATAGCCTTCAGGGAGCTGTTAATGCTCCTGCCCCAGGCTGGGCTTATTCAGAAGATGAGGTGAGCCTGGGCCAGCAGGAAGTCAGTGAGCATCTGGGGTTCCCTGAGTTAGAGCTGGCATGAGGTTAGCGGTGGCATCTGGGGCTTGGGGCGGGAATTACAGAGATGAAGTGAGAAGAGATGGGAGGCCTGATAGAGGGATTTGACATTGCGGGCATGTGCGGGGACCTCATTCTGTTGCCTGAGGAAGCAGGTGGGGAGGCTGGATTGGAGGAGGGAGGGGCAGACATGATGAGGCTGATCAGAAGGTGGTCCAGGAGAGGGGCCAGTGAAGCAGGAACCAGAGTTCAGAGAAAATCAGGGGTGCTAGAGGGGCCATAGGGCAGAACTTCCCTGAGGATGAAACTAGCGTGGGGCACAGACGACCTTTGGCTCTTTGAGCATCATGAGTTGATGAAGTGATTCCGTGGTAACTGGTATGTTTTGCTTTAGATAAGCTCATTCTGCCAAAGTCAAAGTCAAAGCTAACTACAATGCTGACTTGTAGTGACTCTGTATGGCAGACCCTGCTAAGGTGAACAGCAGCTTCAATGAAGCATTTCCGAGAGGCTCATTTTGAGAGATTTGGAGGAAGATTCCTCAGCAAACTGCATTATGCAGATGACACAACCATGCTTTCTGTAAGAGAGAAAGGCTTTAAATGCTCACTGCAGAAGACTACAGTCTTCAATATAACTCAACATCAAGAAAACAAAAATCTCAACATGGGACAAATAAGCAACACCATGACAGATGGAAAAATGATTGAAGTTGATAATGATTTCATCTTGCTTGAATTCACAATCAACATCCATGGTAACAGCATCTGAGAACTCAAGACGCATTCCACTGGGAAAAATCAGCTATCAATGTCCTCTCCATGGTGCTAAGGAGCAATGATGTCAGTTTAAAGACTAAGGTGCACCTGATTCAAGCCATAGTCTTTACAGTTATTTGCTATGCATCTGATAGTTGGACAATGAATAAGGATGACAGAAGACAAATCAAATAAATTCCTTTTATTTGTGGTGTTAGAGAAGAGTACTGGATATCCCATGGACTGCCAAAAGAACAAACAAGTATGTCTTGGAGAAAGGGCAACCTTAGAAGCAAGAATGGTGAAACTTAAATACTTTGGGCATGTTGTCAGGAGGGCCAGTCTTTGGAAAAGGGCATCATGCTTGGTAAAGTGGAGGATCAGCAAAAGAGATAAATTATCTCAAAAAGACAAATGAAAACAGTGACTGTAGCAATGGATTTGGGGCTATCAGAGATGGTGAGGACAGCCCAGGATAGGACAAGGTTCAGCTCAGTTGTTCACAGGATTGCTATGCATCATAGTTGACTCAACAACACCTAGCAAATACAGCATTTAGGTAAAAGATCCCAACTGTTGCAATCAGCACGCTTGATTAAGCTGCTTCTTAAGGTGTCCAGGGCTGTAAATCTTATAGAAGCTGGCTGGAGCAAGCTGATAGCCTCAAAGCACAGGCAGCCTTTCCGTTCCAGCCCAACATTTAATTCACCACACCATCAGAGCTCCTGCTAAAATTAGACAAGCGCTAACTGTGCAATTTTACACACACCACGCCATACCTCATTTTATTGAGCTTCAAAGACCTTGTGGGGTTTGGATTTTAATTTTTTTTTTTAAACAACCCAAATTAAAGGTGTGTGGCAACCCTGTGTTGAGCAAGGCTGATGGGGCCATTTTTTTCAGCAGTGTGTGCCCACTTCATGTCTCTATACCACACTTTGGTAATTCTCAACATATTTCAAAACTTTTCATAATGTTATTGCACACTTAATAGCCTACAGCACAGGGTAAATACACCTTTTCTAAGTACGGGGAAAGCAAAGCATACATGGGACTTGCTTTCTCATAGTTTACTTTACTGCAGTGGACTGGAACGAACCCATGATACCTCTGAGGTGGGTCTAGCCCATCTGACAGAAAGGGGACTGCATGTCTGTGTCTTTGCCTAAAGTCACACAGAGAGTGTGAGGAGGTGCTGGAGGTCTCTCTGGTGCGCAGGCTTGTCTCTATATGGAGCCAGACTCAGGTCTGAGCGAAGAGCGCTCCTTGAGATGGGAACGTGACAGCTCTGCTTGGGCTGGGACCTCAGAGGGGATGAAGAGCTTGTTTTGGTTTTAGATGGGATCATGCTGCCAAAGCCGAAGTCAAAGCTATAGGCGAAATACAATTCTGACTTGCAGTGACTGACCAATGACAGATTTCACAAAGCCCAAGAAGAGGCCTTTGAAGGGGGACAGCATTGTCCCAGGGATCTGGAGCTGGCTGTATTCATGTGACAGGGCACATCACCCCCCTCTTTCCCCACCTGGGCCAACATAGGCTTGGGAGGGGTGATGAGAGTTTGGACCATTAGGTTATATGCATATGTTCCTAAAACAGAGATGCAAACCAAGTTGCAAGGACTATTTCAGGGATTCTTTATTGACCCAGGCCCCTGTATTTGCAGGCTTCTCTGTTTCCAGCATCACTAATATGAGATTCTGGTCCACAGTGGCCCACTTAGGCCTTGGCTTATAACTGGGTTTGAGTCAATCTTCAATTTAAATACCAGCCAAATGTCCGTAAGAATTGTTCCTGCCTCCTCTGGCTACAGTGAGCACGAGGTGCCCTGAGGCTGTTTAGAGGAGTAGGACAGAATTGAGGTCAGAGGTCCCTAGTTGATGCAAACAATCAAGGTGCCCAGCGGGAAAGTTGGAAGTTAAGTCCACCCGTAGGCACCTGGGAAGAAAGGCCTCGGGACCTACTTCAGAAACATCAACCATTGAGAACCCTGCGGAGCACGGCTTCACGCTCATACGTGCAGTAGGAACTGATGACTGTTTTTGTTAGTTTGTCTAGGGTCTCACACCATGTTGCTGTGTACCGTGAGTCCAAACCCACCCCATAGTGACCCTCTAACATGTTCTCAAAGTACATAAATCACAGAGAAGTAAACTGCCCATCTTTCTTCATGGAGCAGCTGATGGATTCGAACTCCTTATCTTTGCATTGGCAGCACAATTCCTTACTACTAAGCCACCAGAGCTCCGTAAATAAAGGGCCCTGTGTTTCCCTTTTAATGCTGAGAAGAATACAAGTTGAGCTCTTTCAATATCCAAACCTGTTGCTATTTGAGTCAATTCTGACTCTTGGGGAGCCTTCAACCAGCTTCCCGAGATTGTAAATCTTTAGGGAAGAGACAACCTATTTTCCTTCTACAGGTGGAGTCAAAGTACAGATCTTTTGTTAGCAACCCAGCACAAAGCTCATTACACCGCTATTTGTTGTTGTGATAGCTGCTGAGTCAGAACTGAAGCAGGGCTGACCCTCCAGCGGGTGTTCAGAGGCCGTAAGTCACGGAGGAGACTGCCCAATCTTCTGAGGAGCAGCTGGTGCATTTGAACTGGCCGCACAACTCTTTACCCACGAGGCCTCCAGAGTCACTGGAGCTCCTTAAGTGGAGCTCCTAACAACTTCCTGGCCCCCACCCCCAAAACCCTCCCCTCAACCCGCTACCAAGGAGTTGGTTCTGAACTCAGCAACTCTCCACCAGTTTTTGAGGCTGTAAATTGTTGTGGGAAAAGACTGCCCATTGTTCTTTCTCAGAACAGGAGGTAGATTTGAACTGCTGAGCTTTTGGTTAACAGCATAATGCAAAAGCATGTGAGGAGATTGTCCATCCTTTTTTCACAGATCTACTCGTGGATTTATATAGTCTGTGAGGCCCAGCCTTGGGGTTAACAGCTTGAATCTCACGAAGAGTTTAGCCAGTTTAGCCTCTGTCCCCTTGGAGCAGAATAAAAATCCCTGTCTTTGCTGCCATCTAGTGTTTATCTGGGAATAACACCCCTACAGAGGTCAGCAGGAAAGGTTCTCCAAAGGCTTCAGAGCCAGGGCCATGCTCCATGTAGTCTCCTGGGCCCCCTCAGTTGTAGACCTTTTTAGTTGCTACCTGGTGTAAGCCTTGCACAAATCACCTCACCTGGATCTGACCGCCACCCAGCCCTTGCTTCCCCATCTTCCCCAGGGCCGTGTGCCTGCTGTGTGCTTAGAGGACCTCTGGAAGTCACCACACCTGGGGGAGGGATGCAAACCAAAAGGTTTATTTTGCAAGTGAGAGAAGCAGCAGCGCTGGAGGCCCAGAAAAGAGGAAGCTGAGGCCCAGAGCAGAAAGCCTGCATGGGAAGACCAGAAAGAGGCCTGCAGGAGTGGGATAATAGCTGGGGGTGGGGGGAATGGGACTCAACTCCAGGTACAGCACTGGCAGGAGGAGCTGAACACCAGGCCTGCGGGGCAGTCCTGCAGGAACAGATGGCCCCCCGCACAGTTGTAGAAGCTGGCCCGTTTCTGAGGGTTGGGGTAGAGCCCATCAGCTCTACCCTGACAGAAGGTGTCTTCTCCAGGGCTGGGCCCACTCTCGGGTTCTCCAGGGCTGGGTCCACCCTCGGGTTCAGAGGGCTGGTCTGGCTGGGGAACTTCAGGCTCCGTGGGGCCTGAAGGCACATAGGGGAGACCTGTGAAGACAGTGAAGATTTGTACCAAGGCAACATGCACAGGCCAAACACAGATGACAGTCACAGTGGTGGAAGCCCCAAACCCACCCCGACCCCAACCCACAAGCCAAGTACAGATGCACAGTCCAGGCAGGGAAGGGCCCCTCCTACAGCACAGCGCAACACAAAACACTGGTCCCTGGGGGGGGTACTCAAGTGCTAAATCAGTGGCTGGAGGTTCAAATCCACCCAGAGGCAATTGGGAGAAAGGTTTGGTGATCTGTTTTTTAAAATATCAGCCATTTCCAAGGACTTGTCCCTCCAGGCAACATGCCCAAAGTATGTGAGACAGAGTTTCAAAATCCTTGTCTCCAAGAAGCAACCTGGTTTCACTCCCTCCAGGACAGACCTGTTAGTTCTCTTGGAAGTTCAATACTCTTCTCCAGCTCCACAGCTCAAGGGCATCTTCTTCTGTCATCCTTAGTCATTGTCCAGCTCTCAGATGTATAACAAGCAATTGAGAAAACTATGGCTAATTGACACAGGGTCTATGTTGGTGGGGTCATGTGTGTCACAGACCGTGAGATTGGCTCAGGATAGCGCAAGGTTCAGAGCCACTGTTCAAAGGGTTGCTATGGGTCGGAGTCGACGGCACATAGCAAACAACATTCAAGTAACAAAAATATTGCGCACGTGCGCACACACACACACAATCAGCTAGTGAAAACTTTGCAGAGTACTGATGTAGATGAGATTTCCACCAGTTTGGATCAAATAGTGATTTATTTGATGCTCATGTCAGTCTCTTTTCTCATTGTGTTGAATCAGAAACCGACTCAAAGCTGATCTTTAGGTTTCGGAGGCTGTAAATTGCATGCGAGGAGACTGGCCATCTTTCTTCCTGCTAGTGCATTTGAACCACTAGAGAGGCGTGGGCTTTGGGGTAGCAGCATGACTCTCTACAGAGCTTGTCCTCAAGTAAAGGACAGAGAACAGCAAGCTAGCAGCCTTACCCGCCAGCAGCAAGGCCCTGCCACGTCCATGCAGGGGCCCCACACATGTGCTGGATGCTTTCAGCTTCCTCCCTGCTGCGGTGAAAGCCCTCTGGAGGAAGCCCTGCTTACAGCAGCCTGGGCTGCCTTTGCTACAGCCAGAGAGAGGGGAGAGAAGGATGAGGCTGAGGAGAAAATGTTTCAGCCAGGGTTTCCAGCAGGTTCCTTCTAGTCTGCTCCTTTGCTGAGAATCTTCCTTTCCCTTCCAGACAGACTGCATCAGAAATCTACATTTCAACAACATTCCCCAGGTATTTCTTATGTAAGCATAAGAATATGCATAATTGGTGGAACATCGTGTTAAAAATGTCACTTATGATTCACTGTATGGGGTGGAAAGGAAAATTCTCAGCAAGGGTGTCAAACCCCTGGTTTCAAGAGTTTCCTCAGCTCCTGGCTTGGATGACATTTGAGAAATCCAAGTATTGGGGCAAAGCCTGTTCTTCGCAAGGGCCTGTGGTTTAGGGCAGAAGTTTCATACCCTACTTCCGACTTCTGCCTCTGACTCTGGGCCCGTCACTCACTCAGTTCCTGCCTCAGCGTCTGGATGAGCGGGTACCGGCCCTGGTTACAGAAGGAGCCAGAGAAGTCATCCAAGTCCAGCGCCCAGACCATGGCTCCGCCCAGGCCCTTCTGCTTCAGGTAGCTGACCTATGAGGAGAGAAGTCATGCAGTCCAGTCAGTAATGCCCGGAGTCCCGCATCTTCACATGGAGGTTGTTGTTGTTAAGTGCCATTGGCTACAACTCAAAGTAACCCTGTGATCCAGAGATCTGAACCCTGCCCTGTCCTGTGCCACTCACCACGCTCAAGCCCGCTGTCACAGTCACTGTGTCAGTCATGTTGAAGGTCTTCCTCTTTCTCTGACCCTCCACCTTTTCTATCAGGATGTCTTTTTCCAAGGACTGGCCCCTTCTGATAACATGCTCAAAATATGTGAGATGAAATTCCACCAGGTTTACCTCTAAGGAGCGTCCTGGTTGTACACCCTCCGAGGCATATTTGTTTGTGCAGATGGCTGAAGGTGACTTTTTTTACAGCACTCCCAGGCCCATGATGTGTTGAGGTTTCTGGAGAGGACTCTAGGTGACACGTTTGGAAGGCTGATTCTTTGATCTTTGTGGGCACCAGTCACTCCAGAACTGGAGTACGGGGTGAGTACAAGGTAGAGGGCAAGGACTGGATGGGTGTGTGGGTCTCTCTAGGCTGAAGACATTAGCATTTCAGGCTTTACTGTGCTGAACTAGTGTGTTCGGAGTTCTGTCTGCTGGTTGTGTTGAGTTCCACCTGCATAGGAAGGGCCATACTTTCCAGAAGACCTGAATGAAGTTTTGTTTCCATGTCTGTATATTTTTCCTTTCCTCCAGGTCCTTCAGTCCTCTACCACTATCTGAGGCTTTCTGAAGTTATAACTACCCGTCCTCTCACAGTGGCGCTTCTCTGTCTCCTGACCTGGGCAGGGGACCACAGTACTCCCATTGAGAATGGGATTGGAACTGGAGGGTAAGGTTGGTCTAGAACACTCATATCCAATCTCTGTCCCCGGATGCCGCTCCTCCTGCACCTGCCCTCCTTCAGGGTTCCAGCTACCTGGGCTACACTTTATCCTCTGGGTCCACCTCCTCCATGTTCTCTGCTAAGTCTTTATTTGAGCACCTCCCTCCTATAAATCCAAGGCCTCTTCCTCTGGGTTAAGACTCGTCTCAAACACCTCTCCATCATGGCTCCTTGCCCATCTCCCTCCTAGGTTCTTGCAGAGCACTCTGTCTGCACTTTTAGAAGAAATGTACCACTGTCTATGTTACGTCGTCAGTATGGGCTGAACTGATAAATAATTGTAGCATCTCTCTTCAGAAATAAATTATTTCATGGGGGAGAAAGACCTGGAAACAATAAACACACAAAACTAAACCTCCAACTCCACTGCCCTTGAGCCAGTTCCAACCTGTGGCAACATTGCCTTGGGTTTCTGAGGCTGTACGTCTCCAGGGAAGAAACTGCCTCATCTCTCTTTGAACCACTGACGTCTCAGTCAGCAACAACTCCTAACACACGAGGCTACATTGCTAAAGCCATCAATACTGAGCAGGAGGAAAGAAGCGTGCACATGAATACGAAGGTCTCTCTTTTGGACATGCACTAAATGTTGTCAGTGGGCTAAATATGTCTCCCCAGACACCATGCTCCATCGTCTGTCTGCAGAATGTGTTGTGTTTAATAGCATGCAAATCTTTTCCAATGTGTTACTGAATAAAAAACAATTTTTATCATAATGTCTTTTCTTAGTCAACAGATGGCAAAAGATCAGATCATATGGGGATCTGATTATTAAGGTATTTAGAAGGAGGCTTATCCTTGGAAAAAGTTCTGAGTGATGTAATTTGATGTCATTGTTAGATTTTGGGCACACCCGAGCCCACTGTGTGACCTCCAAACCCAACTCCCAGCCCCAAGCCAGCACGGCAGGCCTCACCTTGGTTTTGAAGCTTTCCACGTCGTCGAAACCCACCCACTGGTTGCCCTTGAAGGTGTAGGGCACCTTCTGGTCCTGGATCCGGAGATCGGGGGCCCCCTTCCAGGAGGAGCAGACCTGCAGAAGCAGAGGGTCGGTGCTAGGAGGAGGTTGGAAGCACCTGGCCAGGAGGGAACTGGGATTTGGACAATATTTTGTCTTAGGGATACTCCAGACAAAGTGCCCTAGAAGTCTAGATTCTATTTGAGGCACCTGGGCCGAGACATATGGGATCCACCAGTCATGCTACACCATCTCTGGCATCCTCACTTACAAACTGTTGAAGGAGGAGCCCTTGTCCGTCTGTGTTCCCCTCTACCCCCACCCCCAGGCAGCCTTTGGTCCCCATGGTATCAGGTGGCTGTGGGGGTTCCTACCTCATAGTAAGCCAGCAGCCCACCCTCCTTGGTGAAGGGGCCAGGGGTTCCAGCCCCTGTAGCAGGGGCCCCTACTCCGTTGTTTGACGAGGAAGCCAGGGTAAAAGTCCGTCCGTAGGTGGGCATGCCAAGGACGAGTTTGTTGGCAGGAGCCCCTTTCTGCAGCCAGTACTGCACGGCAAAGTCCTGGTAGTGGAGAAAGAAGGAGGGGTTCATTTTCTTGCCCCTTGAGATTGATCTCACCCACTCAAGACTTTGGGCTCCAGAGACAGAGCTGGGAAAGCAGGAAGGGAGAGCAGGACGTCCTTAGCTGGAGCTTCAAGGATCTTTTATTAGAGTTCCAATCCTTCTCTGTTTTCCTTGAATCGTTAGGTCCTCTACTACAGAGACAGAAGCCATGTGGCACCATGGCCAGGAGCATGGGCCGAGCAGTCAGACAGCCCTTCACTGAGCAAATATTTACTAATAGACCACCATGCACCAAGGGAGCTCTGGTGGCCTAGTGGTAAGAAATTGTGATGCTAACCCAAAGACAGGCAGTTCAAAGTCACCATCTGCTCTAAGGGAGAAAAATAGGCCATCTTCTCCCAAATCATTTACAGCATTTGAAAACCAATTGTGAGTCGGTTCAAACTCAACAGCACAGAACAGCAACAACAGCATGTTCAAGCAAGTGTGAAAAAGCCAAGATATTTACTCTGAGGATTAAAAAAGGCTTCCCTGAAGCATATTTTCAACTGCCTCACATGTAACTGAAAACTGGGCAATGAATAAGGAAGACTGAAGGAGCAGCAATGCCTCTGAGTCGTAATGTTGGCAAAGAGCGTTGAATGTACCGTGAACTGCCAGCCAGAAGAACAAATAAGTCGGCCTTGGAAGAAGTGCAGACAGAATGCTCTTTGGAAGAGAGGATGGTGAGACTTAGTCTGACACAGTTGGGGCATGTTATCAGGAGGACCAGCCCCTGGAGAAGGACATCATACTTGGTAAAGGGTCAGCAGAAAAGAGAAAGATCCTCACTGAGGTGACGGGCACAGAGGCTGCAGCAATGGGCTCAAATGCGGCACCAGACGAGGCAACGTTGCGGGCTGCTGTACAGAGTCGCTGTGGACCAGCACCGACCTGACAGTGCCTACAAGGTTGCTGCACACACGAGATTAGTAACTGAGCCTTTCCTCCCAGAGGGAATGTTGTTGTTGTTGTGTACCATCGAGTCAGAACCGACCCACAGCTGACCCTCTGGTGGGTTTTCAGAGGCAGTTACTTATACAGGAGGAGATTGCCCTCTTTCTCCCGTGGAGCGGCTGGTGGCCTCGAACCCTGTACTTGAGAAAGAAACACACAGAGGAGCAGTAGCAGCACATTCCCTGCCCCCCTCTAGAAAGCATTTAATCGCCCTGCACACAAATTACTCTTTTAAAAGGAATAAACTGAATGTAAAACCAAGCCTGTCCTTTTCAGGGATTTGCAGGGGCTGGTTCTGCCCCGAGTGATGTCCCCTGAGTTGTCCTCAACGTCCTACCACTCCACTGCCTGGAAGCACCTTCCAAAAGACCCATCAGCAGCCAGAGAAGAGGTGAGCCTATGGTGGTGAAGAGAATGTGGCGGGGTCAGGCCAGCGCGAAGGAAGCCAGCTGGAAACCCAGGCTTAAAGCTCCCGGAGGGCTCCAGGTGGTTGTTGTTTGATGCCATGAAGTTGGTTTACTGTGTCTACTACCAGCAGGATGACACAGACAAAAGCAGGTCCCTCCAGACGTGTATGGAGCAGGAAAAGAGGACCAGCAAGCAAAGAAACAGAAAGCATGTCAGTGCCTTGCTTGGCTCTCCGGCGTTTCTGTTCTTTTGGAGACTCAGAAGGGCCACCTGACATGACTGATGGCAGGTGTCCAGCCTCCTCCAGTCACTTACCACGTTAGCTTCAGCCGCTGTGCCACTCTCCCCCTGTCTCTTGTACAGAGGGCTGTTGTGTCCTGTGACCTTCCCCCAAGTGCCATGGAAGTCATAGGCCATGAGGCTGATGAAGTCCAGGTTCCTGTGGAGAGAGAGGTGAGGGGCCCTACTTTCACAGGCAGGAGAAGAGGAGAGGCCCTCCTTCCTCCACCCCAGCCCCCACATGCGGCGTGGTGTCTCTGGGGAAGGTGCATGAGTAGCATTCCCTGTTGTTGTTGTTAGGTGCCATCCAGACAAATACGACCCATAGCGACTCTATGAACAGCCAGTCAGAACCCTGTCCTGTCCCTCTGCCCTCCTCCTCATCTCTGACACACTGGGGCCCATTGCTGGAGTAATTGGTGGTCTTCCTCTCCTTTGCTGACGCTCCATCTTTCCAAACATGATGCCCCTTTCTAAGGAATACCTTCACTTGGATGTTGTTGTTTATTGCCTTCAAATCAAGCACAGCTCATAGTGACCCTATGAACAAAAGGCCTGAAGCCCCTCTACAATAGCAACATTTATCAAAGTTCATTGAGTTTCCAGAAGCATGTTGTTTAGGAAGAGGATGCCACTCACTTAGATAGATTTCCAAATTATCAAAAAAGAAGCTTTGTCACCTTTGCCTCCAAGGAGCGTTCTGGCTGCACTTTTTCCAAGACATATATGTTTGTTCTTTGGGTTGTTGTTATGTGTTATCAAGTCACCTGAAACCTGCCCTGTTCTGAGCCAGCGTCACTGATTTCGATATACCTGCTTCCATTGCCCTAGTCACGGTATCAATCCATTTCATCTGGGGTCTTCCTCTCCCAGAATGTCCCTCCACCTTTCCGAGCATGACATCCTTCTCCAAGGAGCGGTCCCTCCTGGACACAGTCCATAGAATATTACATACTCTTCTTCAGAACCACAACTCAAAGGCATCAATTCTTCTGTCCTCCTTATTCATTGTCCAGCTCTCTGATGCGTAGCAGGTCATTGAGAAGACCATGGCCTAAATCAAGCACACGTTAGTCTTCAAACTGCTATCAGTGTTCTTTAGCATTTTGAAGAGGTCCCTGCCTGTAGACTTGCCCAGAGCAATACATCTCTTGATTTCCTGACTGCTGGTACCAAGGTGTTGTTTGTGTTGTTTTCCAAAAGGAAATCATTGACAGCTTCACTCCTTTCTCTCTTATAATGTTGACTGTTGAACTAGCCACCCATTATCAAGGCCCCTTTTACTCAAACCATGAGTGTGACAGCTCCTGTCTGTAGCAACTCTCCACATTGTCACCCAGCTCCTCAGGCCCTATCCCACTCGGGAACCTTGCTGTTGCTTTGTTATTGTAGAGGCAAATCTAATTCCGTGTTTCTCAAACTTAAGTGTGCATGTGAACTGCCTGAGAATCTCCTACAAAAGGAAGTTCTGGAGGAACCTTGGAAACATAATGCATAATGTACGGTGCTGCCAGTGGGAAGGTCAGTGGTTCAAACCTACTGGTGACTCTGATAGAGAAAGATGGGCAGACCCTTCTCATAAAGATTTACCTCAGAAACTCAGTGTAGGTCACTTGGGACTGGGTGAGGTTTTTTAGGGATGGGGCCCTGGTGCCTACATTTCCAGTAGGTGCTGCGGGTTCACTGACCACACGGTGAGGCGCAAGGGTATGGACAGGTTTTTTGGGGGGGAGAGCCAGAGGTCCAACTTGCTCCCCTCCCAGCATGTTTGTTTTAATAAAAAGTTCCTGAGGAAGATCCTAAAGATAGATCTGGGATGTATCATCACATACATGGTTTTACTGATGGCAGCCAGGCCTTTCCCAAAGCAACACCTTGCCTGTGACCACCTGCCCTGCTCCTGGGGGAGCTCCGTCAGCCCCTCCCAGCCCAGGGGTTATGTAATCTGGCAGTTGTGCAATGATGTAATCACCTTCATGATGTGCTGTGACCCGATCTGATGAGCCATCAGTGTAAAGACACTGGGTGCCTCGGAACAGAAGTGATGTGGTCTTCTAAAATGCTAATACACTTCCTGAGAGCTTTCTCTAGCCCTGTCATGGCTTGACTTGACTCAAAGAGAAAAGGAGTGTACCTGTGAGGGAACATGTGAGGCTTTTGGAGGAGAGAATTGTCTGATGGGAAGGTGAAATCCAGCCACACTAAAGCAGCTGGTAGAATGAGTGAGGGATGCTGTTGATGTTGGGTGCCCGTGAAGTCATAGTTACAAAAGCTCAGTCGGCCTGCAGCTTCTCCCGCCCCAGACAGCCCTGCTGAGACTCACTGAGCAATTTTGTCCACCTCATATCCGGCGTCCACGTTGGTGCGCCCTGCAGGGACGGCTGCACTCAGCAGGAGTCGCTCCTTCCCTGAGCTCTGGGCTTCCTTCTGGAAGGCTCCGGCCAGCTCCTATGGGTACAGCTCAGCATGAACACAGAGCCCAGCAAGAAGCTCAGTCTCAGGAGTTTGAACAGCGCTCATAGACTGGCCCGAGCTGTGCACACACATGTAATATATGACCCTGGGGCCAGATCAAAGGTTCATGCATTCCGTGGGGTCGCAGCTCGGAACCCCTGGCAGACCTGACGTCCCATTCCCCACCCAGCCACACCTGCACCAGGGCTGTGAAGTGCTGTTTGTCTGAGGCGGGGCTCCCTCGGCTTCCTGGATATTCCCAGTCAAGGTCCAGGCCATCAAAGTCATGTTTACGCAGAAACGTGATGACCGAGTTGATGAAGATCTGACGGTTGCTGGGTGTGGCCACCATGTCCGTGAACCTGTGGGAAGGGGTAAGAGAGTATGGGCCTGCCGTGGGTCAGAAGGGGACCTGCTTCTTCAGAAGCAAGCAAGAAGCTACTCAGGATAGGAGCGCTAGTGAGTCCAAATGTCATGAATTTTGTGTGTGTGTGTCTGCATCAACTTGGCTGTGCCATGGTTTTCAGTGGCTTGGTGGTTATGTGACTTGATGGTTATTTAATGATGTAATCACCTCATATGTAATTTCATTTGATTAGTCAATCAGTTGAAAGACTTTACAATGGTAGGTAACACTTTTAGTCAAGTCACAGACTGATTTAAGTAGATTGTCCACGCATCACCTTTTCTTCTCGCAAAAGAAAAAGGGAGAGAGAAGCAACTAGAAGTCAGAGAGCCCTCAGTACCACCAAGAAAGAAGAGCTAGGAGCAGAGTGCATCCTTTAGACCCCTGGTCCTTGTGTTATGAACTTCCAAGACTCTGGAGAAGACTGATGGCCAGACACATGGGGGTCTTAAAGGGCCACCAAGCCCACAGATGTTGAAAAGATACAAGGATCTTTCTTCAGAGCTAAGAGGAACAGAAAGCCTCCTCCTGCAGCTGGTATCCTGAATTTTAAATTCTAGCCTCCCAAAGTGTAAGAGAATAAATTCCTGTTTATTACGGTCATCCACTTCTGTTAAAGCAGCACTAGGCAATTAAGACTGGAAGGCTGCTTCAGAGAGAGCTGAGTAGACACTGGTGAGCTTTAGGTCTGGCGAAGGGAAATGAGACAACTTAGAAGTTCCTCCTCCCCCACAACCATCAACGTGGAAAAGAGTACGAGGAGTTCTGCTTCCCAGTACTCCCTGCTGAAGCCTCCCACCACCACCTTTCCTGGATGGTTGGCCTCTGAGTCGGAGCTAGCTGTCACGTGGCCTGAAGGTTTAGAAAAGAAGAGGGAACTGTTTCGAAGAGGAAGAGAAAGAGAACAGTGCAGTGAAGCCAGTGGAGAACAGGATGGTTCGGGGACCCCCTCCCGCACTTCCCTGGTATGCCTCCCATCCCAGCTCCTGTTTCTAGAGCACTTTGTGCCACTGTCAAGACTGCCAGTCCCTAAGCTGCCCTCCTTTCTCAGTGTCCCTATAACCTTGGCCTTCTTGAGGTCCCAAGTTTTTATAGGTTCACTCTATTTCAGTTTGCACAGCACCTGGAGTCCAGGGGCCTTGGGATCCCAAAATATGAACCTCTACATTTCAACAAAAAGTCTAAAGCTAGGCATTATTTTGGGAGAGTGAATCATCAGATTATCTTCTTTGGTGAGCTTTTGCCAGCACCTCAAATGGGGTGCCAATCCAAAAGAGCTGGAGGAACACTGACTGGGGACTTTGGGACCCAGGGAGTCTGGATTTTCTAGGGCAACTCTAGTTCTGAATATTCTTTTTCATGATCTTCATAAACCATCAAAATGTCCCAGAAATGCCAATATTGTGGCATCCAAACTCCATTGCAGGCTGCCTTTTACTGCCAGGAGGCAAATAAAGTTTTCTGTCAGACAAGGTATTCTGTTTCAGTGCTCAGGAATTCTTGTTGGGATGTCTCCTCTCCCTCTCACCTCATTTCACAGAGAGAAAGACCGAGGCCTGCACTACTAGTACTGTGTGTGATGTTGATTTCTGGGCGCAGGAAGAACTTCTGTCTCTTTTTCCTCAGCCAGACCCAAAGCTCACCAGCGTCTCTGAAGCTTCCCAGCAGCCCCTGAAGCAGCCCGGCTGTCTTAGTCATCTAGGGCTGCTGTAACAGAAATGCCACAGGTGATGACTTTAAATCTAAAACAATAAATATCATCAAAGGAAAAATTGGGGCAAACTTAGGAGTCCTAAGATATGACAGAAAAGATTATAAAATATAACTGATGCACAATGCACAGAGTATAAGCTTGATGATTGGAGCCTCCTAAGAATTCAATCCATAGATACAGCAAAAGACTTTCATGAGTCAAAAGAAAACCTAGAGATTGGGGGGGGGGTGAATTTTGGCAATGCCACATCTAACAAGAAGCTCATCACTAAAATGTATTGAAAACTCCATTATCACAATAAGAAAATGACAAACAACCCAATTACAAAAATGGCCAGAGGACATGAATAAACACATTATTAAATAAGACAATCAGGTGGCCAAAAAACACATGAAGAAATAAATGCTCAAGATTATTACCCATTCTTTCCTCTTTTTTTACTGCTATTGAGTCAGAAGAGACTCTTTGCTGACCCTCTAGAAGTTTTTCAGAGACTATAAATTACGTGGGAGGAGATAGTCCATTTTTCTCACTCATAGCAGCAGCTGGATTTGAACTGCCTGTCTTTTGGTTGGCAGCACAACTCCCTACCAACTAGGCCACCTGGGCTCCCTCATTTAGCTATGTTGTTGTTTGCTGTTATGTATTGTCGGGTCTGAACTAACTCACAGCTGACTCTTCAGGAGGTTTTCAGAGGACATAAGACAAGAGGAGACTGCCCAACTTTCTCCACTAGTGGATTCAAACTACATGCCTTTGCATTGGCAGCACAATTCTTTACCCCTAAGCCACCAGCACTCTCTCATTAGCTCCCTTTCTGATGGCCTACTGGGTAAAGAGTTAAAAACCCAAAAGCAGTCAGTTCACATTCCCTAGCTGCTCCATGGGAGAAAGATGGGAATCTCCTCTTATATGATTTACAGCCTCTGAAAATCTTCTGGAGGGTCAGTTAGGACTTAATTCCAACTTGACAGCAATGAGAAGGAGAACATTATCTATGAGAGATATGCAAGTCTAAACAGCTAAAGAGCATTTCACCCTAGAAAAATAGCAATGTGCAATAAGACATTGAACAACAAATGCTGACGAGGCTATGGAGAGATTAGAACTCTCATACGCTGTTGGTGGGTATGTGAAATGGTCCAATACTAAGGAAAGCAATTTGATTCTTCCTTAGAAAGTTGGGAATAGAAATATCATTTGATCTAATAATCCCCTCACTAAGGATATATCTCAAAGAGCTAAGAATAGCAACATCAAATGACATGCTTATCTCCACACAACACTATTTCTTTTTTTTGTAATTTTTATTTTATTTTAATAATTTTAATGAACATTTGCAGAGATTTTGGATTTCCATTCATTCATTGCTGCACTTCTCTCCCCTCCCAGCCCTCCTCCAGTTCACTTCTCTCTCTGAAAAGTAATAGAAAAACTCCTTCCCTGATACACAATCCCCCCGCATCCTCCCACAGTCCCAAGTACATTCCACTATGCAACCTTAATTGTGGACTCCTGTGGTAACCATAATACCCTATGATACATCGCTTTTAAATTATTCTCTCCCTCATCTGTTTCAGTGCAGTATACACAATTTATCCAGTTTTTCTCAGTCTTACCCCAACCCTGATATCAGTCCCATTTTACAGCAGTGGCAGCATGCAGTATTTGTCCTTTTGCGACTGAGATATTTCACTCAGCATAATGTCCTCCAGGCTCACCCATTTTGAATAATATTGCATGAGTTCCTTGTTTTTCAATACAGGGTAGTATTCCATTGTGTGAATATACCGCAGCTTCTCTATCCATGAGTTAGTTGATGGGCACCTGGGTTGTTTCCAACTCCTTGCTATTGTGAACAAAGCCACGATAAACATGGGTGTGCATACATCTACTTGGATGTCAGTTACGGTCTCTTTGGGATATATTCCCAGTAATGGAATTGCTGGGTCAAATGGTATCTCTATTTGCAACTTTTTGAGAAAGCGCCACACCACTTTCCACAGTGGTAGCACCATTTTACACTCCCACCAACAGTGAATAAGGGTTCCAGTTTCTCCACAGCCTCGCCAGCATTTATTGCTTGCTGTTCTGTTAAATATTGCTATTCTGACTGGGGTGAGATGATATCGCATAGTTGTTTTGATTTGCATCTCTCTTAGAGCTAGGGATTTTGAACATTTCTTCATGGGCTTGTTGGCCACCTGAATGTCTTCTTTGGTGAAGTGTCTGTTCATATCCTGTGCCCATTTTTCTATTGGATTATTTACTTATATCTTGTTGTGGTGCTCAAGTATTTTATAAATTCTAGATATAAGCCCCTTATCTGAAATGTCATTACCAAATATTTTTTCCCAGTCTATAGCTTCCCTTTTTACCCTGTTGGAGAAGTTTTTGGATGTGCAGAGGGATTTGATTTTTAGAAGGTCCCATTCATCTATTTTATCTTCTCCTGGTTGTAGATTTTTCAGGATACCTGGAAGACTGTTTATGTTGTGGATTAGGACTATTAGAGTTCTTCTAAGCTTTTCTTTAATGAAGTTTATAGTCCTTGGTTTTAGTCCTAGATCCACGATACACCTTGAGTTGGTTTTTGTATATGGAATGAGGTGTGGATCTTGCTTGAGTCTTCTGCAGATATTTTTCCAATTTTGCCAACACCATTTGTTAAAAATACTGTCATTTCCCCACTTAACTGATTTCA